ACAAATGCCCATATTTGCTTGCAAACTCAGATGCAGATGTAAAATCCTCCCTTAGTCATTTGGGCACTTATTTTTAATGGACTTTTCGACTCGAGGACGTTCATTTTAAGATGTCCTTCATACAAAATGATTAAGCGAGAAGGGGGTCATTCATAAGTATCCAAGCTTGGTTTGCCCAAAAGCGGAGGCTTGATTTATAGTTCAGCTAGGTGAGGTTTATGCTTGAGACACTTTTAATTTCAAGGGCTCAATAACATGGGGGGTTTGGCTCTGCTATGGGGCTCTGATTTTCCTGGATGAAAGGACCTCACTCGGTTGAGGGTAAAAAGCAGAATAACGGGTCACTGCACTGTTCCTTCCCTGGGGGAATCGGGCTGTGAGCCGCCGTGAGCCGCCGTGAGCCGCTGCCGTGCGTTTTTGGGGGAAAGAGTCAGGTGGGAGGTGCCTGAGCTCTCTAGTCTTCATGTCTTTTGGAGACAAAGCCCCCCTGATCCTCGTTAAGCCATGGAGCCACCGTTTTCCTAGACAAAAAACAACCTGGGGAAAGAGAGCCTGACGTTTTAATGGAGATGCAAACCAATATTGCAGGAAAAGAGTCCTGTGAACCGCAGTCCTTGCGGGGCTCCCTCCTCCCCTCCAAGCAATCGAGAATCACTTTCTGCTCCGGCCACGAGGCACCTTCACCGTCGGCGTTCGTGGGGTACCCACCCGTGTTGCAGGGGGCTGTGGTTGGGGCTGGTAGCCATGACCACAGTGCCAATAAGTGCTGAAAATTTGGGTGCAGAACAGCCTTCCTTTAGCTTTGAGATGGGAATTAATTTTCTTTCTTTTGCCAGCGTTGGCCTACGGCCCTGCAGGTTGTCCCGTAGGATGTGTCTGTTGAGCTCCAGGTCTCATCCTCCTCTGTAGTCTTCACCTCAGCACCTGCAGCAGCTGAAAGCTGAGGGCTGTCCCTGATGGTCACGACGTGACAGCAGGGATCCCAACACATGGGGATTTTGGATGGAGAAGGTCCAGGGATCCTCTCCAGCCACCTTAGGTCTATGCCAGCAAGTGCATCAGTCCAGCCCAGAGACTGCAGCTCCTTCCCTGATCACCCACCACGTCTCCCGGGTGGCTCCAGGTCCTTACCCAAAGCTCCACATAGCATCAGGGCAAACACCCAACATCGCTACCGCTCCCCAAGGCCGGCGAGCTGCGGGACGGGCAGTGAGCTGCCTGTGGCGCTGACGTAAACTGGATTAAAAGCTCGCAAAGCCCTCTGCGGCTAACGTGGTGTCAGGCCTGCTCATAAAAGGGACTTCAAACATAGGGCTGAAGACCAAGAATTCAGACAACGAGGGAGGGTTCGACCCCAGTGGCTGTAGCGGTGGGAGGAGGGCCGGGTACCGCTGTTTCCATCACTGCTGGCGCCCACAGCCATCACGTGCAGTGACGGCAGGAGGTCACACTCCCTTACACACACATATCCACATGTGGCCCCATGCCCGGAGAGAGAGACCTGAGTGAGAAGCAGCCACAAGACACGTGTGGTGCCACATTGGTGGAGAGTGAGGATAAGGATGAGGATGAGGACGAGGACGAGGACGAGGACGAGGATGAGGATGAGGACGAGGATGCAGCAGGGCTCTGCGTGGAAGGGGGTATCAGCTGGGTGAGGCTGTGGTGTGCAAACGGCAGTCCCGCCTCGTTAAAATGAAATCCGAGCTCGGATAACAGGTCGGTTGTTTTGTGGATATCCTAAACTCACGTAAGAGCACTTCAAGGTCTTGTGGGAGCGAGGGTAGGGGAAAGCAGCTAAATGTAATGACAAGTCCTGTTGATATATCTGAAGCCAGAAAATTTGACGTTGCCAAAAATTACACTGGGGATGTTTATACTTGATGTCTTCGGGTGAGACCACCCGAGTAGAGGGGCCAACTGGAGCGAGAGGGATGAGGAGCAACTGCAAAACCAGATCGTGATGGATTTGGGAGTTCATGGGTAGGAACCGGCTGAGGCCGGGGGATATGCAGACACAACCAGGGTGAAAGCGTGGCTCTGCGCTGAAATGACACTGAGCAGGTGACAGCTATTCCTCACCCACCAGCAAAACCAGCCAGACCCAGTTCTGCGAGTGGGGGGTTTGGGAAGGACCTGAGGGAGCTGGGTCTTTCCCAAGGACCTTCCCAAAGGCTGCCAGGACCTGGGCTCAGGGCCGTGCTGCAAAAAGGCACCACAACCCCAGGGCTGCCAGCTGCGGAAAGCCATTGAGCTGGGATGGAGGTGCTGGGGAGCGGCGTTGCGCCCCACGGCATCACCGAACACTTGAACATAGGAAGTTCCATCTTAACATGAGAAGGAACTTCTTTACTTTGAGGGTGGTGGAGCACTGGCACAGGCTGCCCAGAGAGGTTGTGGCGTCTCCCACTCTGGAGACATTCCAAACCCGCCTGGACGCCATCCTGTGCCACTGCTGGAGGTGACCCTGCTCTGACGGGGGGGTTGGACTAGATGATCTCCAGAGGTCCCTTCCAACCCTGACCATTCTGTGATTCTGTGATTCTGTGATCACCACGGTGGGGGACTGTCATGGGGTGTGAGCTGTGATGGGTGAGAGGTGCTGTCCCAGCTCTTCACTATCCCTCGTCACCGCCCGCTTGTGGATGACGGGATCGCCTTCCTCCTCCCCAGCCGTGAAAAGTGAAGCTGAATCCACCAGAAAAAAACGATGGGGGTTGATCTGTTTCGCTTTGTACTGGACCGCACTGTCAAGCGCACCCGTGCGACACTGCTGCCCCTTTCTGGTCCGGGGACTGCGACCTGGCAGCCACTGGTGCCATGCTGTCCTGTCCCCTGTGTCCTATCACCCCAAAACGTCATCATTTGAATGGCAGGGAAAGCATTTAGCTGCTGCTTTGAAGCGTCGACGATACGTGGTTGAGCCTGGAAGCAGCAGACAGGATCTTTATTGTGGTGTCCCACAATTAAAGCTGGCAGCTCCCACTAAAACCGACGTAAAACGTCCATCCCTGTGCCCCAAACACAGCGCAGGCCGTGGTGCTGCTCCGGGGAACACCCAGCCCATGGAGCAGGGAGGGATGCTGGGCAGGGAGGGATGCTGGACCCGCGGGGCTGCTGCTGGTCACAGGGCTGAATCACGTCTTAGGAAGCATTTATTTAAATCAGAGTTTATTCCCCCAAATCGGGAGGGTCCCAAGGTCTGTTGGAGCAGACAACCCGGCCGGCCGGTCCCACGTACACACCCAGTTGGGAATAAATTTGCTTTTTTACTTACTTTTTCCAACTCAAGTGGTTGCTCACACCACCCCGTAACATGAGGGCGGTGAAATCATGTTCCCGTTATATCCCCGCTCGGCCCCAGAAAGCGCAGAGGGAGCGCCGACGGAAGGAGAGGTGGTTTCGGTTATCGTTCTCCTCTTTGTCACCCCTCTGCGAGGCGCAGGAGGACGGGCAGCTGCGGCCAGGGGTGACGCCCGGGGAGGTGACACCCTTCCCACCGCGGTCCCACACTCGCACGGGATGCGCCGGGCTGGCAGGTTGCTCCTGGCGCTTCTCACATCGCAGGATTGATCCTCGGAGGCGTTTCCAGAAAACTTTCTTTGCTTCATTTTTTTTTTTAAATGTAATTAAGTAATTGGAAAAAGAAAAGGAAAAAAAAAAAAAGCATAAGAGCTCCCTCTGCCGCCGTACGGGTTTAGATGGGAGAGGGATGGACTGAAGTCTGTGTCCCACGGAGGCTCTCTGGGCTGCGGGACCCCGATGGCAAGGTCAGCCCAGAGGTGCTGCTCCAGCTGTTTGCTGCTGCTGCCCTTAAACACAAGGGTCATGGGGGACTGAAAGGTTTTGCCCAGGAGATCACTGGCCCGGTGCTGAGGAAAAGGCTGCTTTAATGTCCCCGAAGGGCTGCCCAGTCTGGTAGCACCCCAGGGGATGCTGCAGTCCCTACTGTGCCACAGAGGAGGAAAAAAACCGACCCCACAGGGATGTTACGGATCCCGCATTTTCCTCCCGTTCCGCTGAGGTTGCTCTCGCCGCAGCGGGCAGCAGTGGGATTCGGGGTGTCCCGCTCGCAGCGGCTGCAGAAGAGCTCTGGGGGATCGACAATGCCCCATGAGGGCACCGCACCACCGGCGTCAGGGCCAGATCCCCCAACCTGCAACCGGACCTGTGCAGCTCTCCTGCCCCAGATACCGGCCACAGCCCACCGACGACGATCTGGCCTCTGGATTGGGGATGGAGCAGGACACAAGGCAAGTCCCCATCCCCTCCTCTCTCCAGTCCAGATCCTCGTTACGCCAAACTTCTGGGGCCGACTCTGCAATTTCAAACATGAGAAATCATGGGCTCGCATACCCAAGAGCTGCGCAAAAGTGGGGTTAGGTTTTCCCTCATCCAAAGAGATTTTAGGTGAGGTTTCGAGTGGGGATCTCTGCCCGCAGGGGGGTTCAGGCACCTCCAGCCCCGTCGGCTCTCGGATGCGGCTGCGGAAGCTCCCCCGGCCA